GTTATTCTAAAGTGAGGTTCCAAGTAAACAAATTAAAATGTAATGCCTAAACGTCGACCAGTCAAAAATTAAGTATTTTCAAAAATGAAGAACAGCTATTACAACTAAAAAATAATTTTTTGTCTAACACAAGAGCTGGTTATCAGACAAATATGAATAATATAATATTAATCTTTCGTAAAGGGTGTATAAGTACAGATCGTAAACAGGTCAATAAAGCACTCATACGTGAATACCATTTAGTTTATATTTTGTACATGCACAATATTTATTTTTACACAATTTTTACAATTAAACATATTCATATTTTGTTTCAGATATTTATTTTTTATATTTTTGTGCTCCTTTATAGTGAGTTTTCCAGCATCTTTAGGACCATTTTTCCAAGTTCTTAGGCTTTTATGTCTTTAGTTTTAACGTATTTTTTCTCAGTGTAATAGTTGCATAATCTTAATTTCTTTAAGATAACTTATTGTGACTATTAGGTACATTTTAAAATATTACTATAATTTAAAGTAAAATACTATAACTTAATTTTATGTATTAAAAGCTACTGTTCATTTAATTCCTTAGCGAATACAGGCTGACTGTTTCCAACTTTAACGTTATTTTTGTGCCGTTTGTTTGGAATTCTAAATAACTCACAGGCAGGTTTATAACAATCTTTTACAAGTGTTGGACTCAACGTTCCAAAAATTAATTTAAACTAGGGTTTAAAAACAAATTCTAAGTTTTTTGCAATCATGGTAAACTTTTAATACTTTATTATTTATGGCCACTTTATCAACGTAGTACTTAGTGGTTTCCACCAGTTTAGTTTTTTTGAGTGGACTAATATTAACCAAATACATATTTCTCTCACTTAATAAAGTTAAGCAACCGGTGCTATTATTGTTTAAAATATCCTTAGAGCAGCTGAGCTCAAGTAAAAACTGGAAGCAATAGGAAGGGCGGTTCCTCTCTATACCCTTGGCCTCTCACATGTTTTTTATATAGGCGGAAGTCTGCAGGGCAGCTTTCGAGACAGGTACGGAGTATGTTATCTCAAATGAGCCAAAATCTGACTGCACTCATGATGAACTATTGCCTTATTAAGGATCTCCCGCTTTATGAATTCTAGCGTAATAAGACTTTACTGTCAGTACTGGATTAGCAGAAAAGTGGGCAGATGATCTCTTTAAATTAAGGCATAAAAAGGTCTAACGCCAACGACAAATGAAGGCGCTTTTAGCTATGAAGCTGTAAAAAGGACAGTAGGCTGAACATACTAGCTGCAGTCATCTCCAAGGTTGTTCGGTTCTATGATCCTATCCTTTGGGACATTAGTAATGTAATAAAATCCAAGTCTTATGTGACTGTAAAGATACTCAAAGCTTTTACCTAGTCGGACTATGCTCGCATAGTGTATATAGTACTATATCACCGACACTATTAGTGTCGATACACACAATGCGGCCGGTATCCAAGGAACTGGCCCAAAGCCACCTGAAAGGATCAGGCAGTCACAAAGCGGCCCCGAAAAAAGGTTATAGTACAAGGTAAACTTCACTCATTCTACGGGCCTTGCCCCAATCGCATTCGGCCACACCTAATTACCGCTTTCGAGTAGGTTTTGAAGAACTTAGCTGATTTCATCAAATAATATGATAGTGAAAGGGTTAACTGCGTTAGCTCTCCCTCGGCATCTTACAAGAACAGCTCCAGAAGGCCCTGCTAGTATTCAACGCGAAGGCTAAGAGTAAGAATTAGCACAACAAAGCCAATTTAAGTTACAGGCAAGTCTCGTTAGCGAACCAAAGTTACTAACCATAACTGTGCCATCATGTTACAGGGAACATAGCACCTGCCACTGGACTCAAAGTTTTGCCAATTTTAAGAGTGATACTTTCGAACCGCTCGTCACGCAACCTGCGACTCCCCGAAGTACTGTATATCTCATGACTTAGAGCTCAAACCAGGAAGTTACCGTAGTCACGTTGTATTGGATTTCACAGTTAATTAGCTGTTCGTGTCATAGTTGATTTCAAGTGTTCAATTTAGTTGACTGAAACCAAGTTCTGACTTCGTTACAAAGTAGAGTCGGATACATTACCCAATTAAAAGGAGTCTACTTTTATACAACCTTCCATATTCGGATGGCGACCTAGAGACCACATTAGACCGTAGCCCACATCCGCGAGGAATAACAACGAAGCAAGGCGCGAATTTTATATATAGGTCTGATCTTTTTCAGCCGCTTTTACTAATATATCCCTCTGGACTGAACAGGAATCCTTACGAACATGCAGGGCGTACAATTAGTATGAAAGGTCAAAGGTTAGACCCAATAGTCAGAGCAAGAACCAGATGTCCGGCAAAGTCTAGCCGCTAAGTAGTGGATCTACACAGTTGCCTCGGAGGCGGCAAAGGACTTAACTGCTGCGATCAAAGCACTAGAAAGGTTGCCTTCGCGTATCCCGCGCCAAAAATGAAGTTAAAATTAAAAAGTGTGCGCACGGAGGACACGCGCAAGCAACGAGAGATCAAAAAAACGCATCTCTCTTGTGTACGAGGATTTAGTTGCTTAAATATTACAGCAAATAGCACTAAAACATGAAAATTTTTTTAAAAGACCCTTCAAAGGTCAAAAGAGTGTCGAACTCATGAAAATGACCATCAAAGGTCCAAAAGGTCACAAATAGTGTATAACTATATAAATCGAACAGCATCTAAGGTGGTCTAGTGTAAAGAAAATAAACTTCGATTACGGTGCCTTCCTGAAAAGGACAAAAATGGTTTCGGTACTGTTCAAGACACAACCACTTATAGAATAGGGAAGCCTTTGTCACATTTGATTACGTACTAGTCAAATTGAATTAGGTTTAAGTGTAAATGTTGGTTAGCCCTAATGTGTAGAGATAGTTAGAGCCGGTGCTAGAGTTGTTTCCTAATGAGAAGAATCATGTGACAATAATCCACTACTCTTCCTTATAAAAACCAAAAATTTACAGATTTTGCTACAGGTGGGACCATCTTGAAGAGAAGGTGGATAATTTGCCTAAAATGAGGTAGCATGTTTTTTTCGTGAGCGTTTTACAAAAACAAATTTGTATTAAAAAATTTTACGGCAGGGGCCTCGCTATAACAATATAAATTATAATTTTGTATATAATCTGAAAATTCCATTTTCTGTATTATTTTACTCAATTTAGGCAACGTTATAAGGACAAGTAATTGGTTAAACTTTGCAGAATAAAAAAGCCTTTTTTATTTAAATATGATCCATGTGCCTTTCTTGTAATTAATTTATAAATTATTAAAAATAATGTTTTGTACACCTAGAGGGGTTAGTACGTCGGATAATACTATCGTTTGGAAGGCAAACCTTTATGACGAAAATCGAAATATTTTCTTTGTAACAAACAGTACCCGCTCTGCTGAAGACTATTTAAGTTTATATATTAATTCTTGAAAGACTTTTAAGGTAAATTTCAAAAATAAAATTTTTAATTTGTTTAATGTAGAGATCCCATTGATGTTTGCGTACAATTAATCGAGATGTTAAAAAAAAATGTTATATCTTTTTGGGCTGATTGGAGTGCCGAAAGTAAGATACAGGCTAAGAGAGAAAGAAAGGAGTTAAACATGTAAATAATTCTAACAATGACTCGCACAATTTTTTTTAAAAAATATATTTTAAAAAAGTTTTAAGTTGCTTTTTGTAAGTTTTATATCATTAGTTATGATACTAGATACATAGTAAGATGTATTAAACCCTAAGTCTCCCCCTGAGATCTTTTAATAAAGCTTTTATACACGTAAAAAAAAGTTACAATTAAATTTATATAATATAATATTAATTTCACTCAATTTTATGGACAGTTTTTATTTGGAATTTTATATTTTTTAAAGAGTAGTGCTCTTTTCTTTTATAAATTTTAATAAAGCCCACTTTAGAGTTGACCATTAAAAAAAATGAAGGTATATCTAACTTTCCTCAGCCAAAATAAAAATGCTAGCGGATATTGTTAGCTTAATGTAGAATTTTTAATAGTTATTATTTAAAATAAACTTATCTTTAGAACAATAAAATTGTAGTTAAACTATTTCTGTGGTGTATTAAAAAAACCATAACAGCTCCTTTTGTTTTTAATTAATATTAATACTAACATCAGTTAAATGTGCATTATACAAAAAAGGGTAGTTACTGCTAGCATGCGCCCCTATCATTATTTTCATTGGATATTATTATGTTATATGGGCCAATGCATGAAAATTTTATAATTTGCTTTTTTAGCGCTTAAACATTGTTCTTCAACGCAAAACTCCAAGGCTTAAAATGGATTTGTTTTGCGTTTACTGATAATAAGTTTACCACTTTTTTCATGTTTCGTTGGTTGCTGCCTAATCCTTTAGAACATGGTAGTCAAACTAACCAGAGATTGTTTCAGGGATTGAGCCTGTCATTCAGGGTTCCATAGACCTACTCTTGCAAATTGAACCTAGGCGACAAGTGGTAAACATTGTAACGTGTAACCTAAAGGGGTTAAGGCTTCCAACCTTAAGGTGAGGGGGCTGATTCTGTTACTTTCTTTATGTAAAGCGCCTATCGCATATTTTCTCTTTGTTACTTTTGCTTCTACATCCAATTTCTAAGTTCTGTTTCTTTCTTCGTTCCTTTCTTAAGTTCTCTTTCCGCTTGTGCAAAGCTTTGATATAGTTGTGCATTAGCTCCATTCTTGCTCTAAGACCTTAGCTTTGTTAACTATTATTGTTTAAGGTTAATTAGTTTACTTTTTTTTTCCCCTTACCATCTATTTTAACTCTTATAAGTTCACTTTAGGGCTCTTATTATCGTCAGAGAAAGATAGCACTTATTAAAGACAAACTATATAGGAGGGAATAAAATATAGCTCTCAGATTAGAAAATGATTATTACCCACTCGTTTCTTTGGAAAAAAATAATATAAGATTATTAGTTCTTAAAAATAGTAATAACGACTATTATATGCGCATCCTAAATCTTGTTCCAGTTCTTAACTCTAAATTCCCATCTTTACCTGGTACAACAATTAAATTTGTATAACTTACTTAAAAATAGCGTTAACGTTTATAAAACTTATAATTTCTAAAAAGGCTAAGCAGAAATCGTCAACTTTTATAATTTTTTTCGTTTTGTCTTTTATTAACTAATTGATAGTATAGCGTACAGCAAGCGTTTTTAATCTTTTTTATCTAGATAATAAGATTAAAAAAAGATGAAAATAACATTACTACTTTTATTTATGGCTGGTTCTTAACTTCAGTAGTGCAAAATTTGGTTTACATGAACGCTTTGCTGCTTTGGCTTTTCTTCGGAACACTACGGCAAGGAGCGTACTCTCAAGATGGCTGTCAAGGACCATTTAATAAAAGAAAGGCGTAAGTCTTATTAGGCTAACTAATTCTATAAGAGCTTCCTCTAGACCTTTATTTAAACATCACCAGCAAAATTGTATGTTTTCGTTTTTAAACGGCAGTTTTTTATAAGGTTACCGACATAGGTTTTAGGTTAGGCGCTGTAGCATCCAAGGTCTTCGTTGAAACGATAGCTGTTTTATCACGTAATATTAAGAGAATAGTAAAAGGGTTTCTAGGGTAATACTACTTTTGATACCCCAGTTTATGAGAGGAATGTTTCTATTTAATGAGAAGTTAATAAATTGATATTTATAAATGAAATAAATAGAGCGTTAGCGCGATGTTTTTTGTCTGTCCCACTCCCGACAGGTGACCAGCTATCCTCAGACATACAGTACTTGTAAGTTCCTATCTTTAATGTTATTACTTCTGACTTTGCAGTTTCAATCTTTTTGTTACTTACCTTGAACTATTATTGAAGTTACACTAGGGCAATGCCACCTTCGTCTGTCTAAACTAGTTAAATCTACTAAGTCGCTAATATTAGACTTAATTCAACTGTCACAATTACAAAATGAATAAAAAAAATTAATTTAAAAAAATGCTATTATAATAAGCGCCGAGTTTTTTGGTAAACGATTTAAAAGTACTTGTTAAAGTTAGTGGAAGTACTCCAGTCAAGAGGGACATGGCAGTAATTTAATTATTAGTGCAAGTGTAAGAAAACTAACAAAGTAGGAAGAGGCCGCCTTTAGCCAAATTGGCGAACATCATAGAGGTGCAAGAAATAGGTACTTCCTTTATCAATAGTGCAAATGATGGATAAAATATATGGATTACTAAGTAGAATATTTTTAAGTGGAATTGCTGTAGTTTGCTCGCCCTAATTGCTTCAATACTTTAATTGGTTATCTCCTATTATCTGTTGCATCAACATGTAACAATTTTTCAAGTGTAATTGGGGTAAATAGGCATTCGAAAATTATTTTCTTGTTGAAATAACTACTAAAGTAATAATATCTCTTGCTTACTATTTTTTTCATTTGTTAATGATGTAGAAACTTGGGGGAAAATAATATAACTTCACTGCCTAAAAATCTTTTCAAGAACCTTGTCGGCCTACATTCTTTGTAATTTAAATTAAAACCTTATTTATAATCATTTAGTTTACTTACATTTTAGTTTTGTAAAACTTAATTTATAAACATAAAAGGGTTTTGAGCGATAATGGTCTTACCTCAATTTATAATTATAACTTTAAATATCTTGGAAGCCTTAAAGAATTGTAAGTTAACTGTAATTTTGCATAGAAACCTATCAGTCACTCTAGAATCTACATTTAATATGTTTTTTTAGCTTAAAACAAAGACTTTTTAGTAGCAAAAAAAGGCATTAGTATAGCCTAATTATACGGTTGCCGAAACTAATCCTCTTAGAGACTTACTATTTGCCTATTTAGCGGTTAGTAGTTAACAATTTTTTGTTTAATTTTTTATATAACTGCAAATAAACTTCCTTATTATACTTTATAGAATTATAAACAATAATCAACTTGGGTTCATAGAGGAAGGCTCGTTTGACGATCTTAAATCTCTGGAGCATTTGTACTATAAAATAATATAACCTATGTTTAAGCCTAATTTGTTAAAATTTCCGATGTCAATATAAATTGTTCTCGTAATTTCCACTACAATACTTATAAATATTGAAGTACGAACTTCTTTTAATTCGTCTTTTACTTTTTTTAAAGTATTAGTTATAAGGGAGTGAATGCTGTTAAAACCGTAAAAAGAGTAGTAGCTTTACCTTCACATCCCAGCTTAAGCTATAAAGAATTAATTTTTTTTTACTTGCAGGCGTAATTTTAAGTTTCTTTAAAATACCAAATGTAAGAACTAAAAGTACCTATAAAATTAATGAAAAAGCCTTAAAAGCTCTAGTTCTTAAATAGATTTAAGTTCTAAAATTTGCGTAACAACTTTAGCAAGCAGTGTTCCCAAAAATAAATTATGATTTTTAGGTTTACCCTTTTACTTATATACACCTTTATAATTCTTTAAAAATTTACGAGTTCCTACTCTTATTATTAATTCTAGTTCTTTGTCACTCACAACGTCTTAATTTATATATTCTATATTTGTGTAAGTTTTATAAGTATTTAATAAACTCTACTGTGTTATTTAGTTGCAATTTTTTTGAGCGTAATTCAAATTCTCTTAATTTTAATTTATTAACATTTTAAACTAATAAGCTGATATAGCACTTAGGTTTACTGAATCCTTTTTTTTACTGGTTTTAAATTAGCATTACTTAAACATACAGTTGCCTATTAATTAATGATAAGCTGTTTAGAGGCTTGAGAAACGTTACTACCTTGTAAGACAGCTTTTAACTTTCTACTAATAACAAAGTTATCCATACAAATTTATTATTCATATAATGTCTTGAATTATTTATTCTATCTTTCAATAAGTTATGTAAGTATTTAATAAGCTTTGTTATGTTAGGTGGTAGCGGGGTTTATTAAGTCTACCTCAAATTCTACCTAAATTTATTAAATATTATATTAATAAGCTAAGTAAATGATGTATTTAGTGAAGAAGTTGTACTTAGCCTTTCTTACTAGTATAAATTGGTGTTACGTAATACATCTAGTTGCTATTAAAAAATGATATAATTTGCGTTTTTTCTACTAATTGACACAGGTCCTTACAAAACAATTACTTAACTACAGTTAGCGATAAGCTATTTAAAGGTTCGAGGAACATTATTACCTTGTAAGTTGGCATCTAACCTCTATTAAATGCAAATTTATAATTCATATGTGTTATTAAGGAATTTAGCTTGGAATCGATTGACGTCACTTGAGAAAGATACCTTCATAAACTTAAAGGACCTTGCATCTTTGTGAGTAACTGAGATTTTAAAGTATCTTTTCGTAATCAAAACTGACTATTAAAGGAAGCGTAAGCATTTCTCTGAAGACTTATTTTAATATAGCTACTTGATAATAGTATAATATACTGAATAGCAGCTTTCGAGCATGTATCAGGGAAAATAATTTTTTTTAAGCGCTGTGCTACGGATTTAGATATCTTTTAAAAAGTATTCATACGAATTAAGGGTGGGTAAAGGAAAGCTTAATAACGGTGTTAATAGATTAGAATCTTGTAATGTAGCCTAATAGATTAATTTAGTGCTTTTTTAGTAGTTTATGTATATTTATTATAAAATTGTCTTTCTTAACTTAAAAACAGAAAGATTCACGTAAAATCATTAATAGATTGCTCAGTCATAATAGCATAAAGTCGTTTAAAGCTGCTTCAATTTCCCACTTGAGAGCATTAACAGAATTGTATGTTCTTTAAGAGAACCAAATAAGAAAGAATATGTTGTTTTTCACTCATTATTCTATGTATTTATGCGGTGTATAAATTTTCATATAGGTATTTGTCTTATAACCCGATCACCTCAATAGAATACGATGATGTCGAAGTTTTCCTAAATCTAAAGCAATTGTAAGTCGCTGCTAATAACAAAAACAGATATAACTTTTTCTAATATCAGAAAGCTAAGAGACCATATAAAATAGTTGTAAGAATGCTGGCATAAAAAAACTTTTTAAAGCTAAATTAACTACTTCCCTTAGTTCTTTAAGAAATTGCTCCATTAAATTAATAGCTGATGAGGCATTTTCGCGGTTGCCAAAGTTGATGTATTTGTAAGTTGCTCATAGTTTTTTTTCTTTCTATTTTATGTTGTTTTCTACCAACATATTCTGTAGTAGTACCACAATATAGCTTCCTTTGTAAAACTATATAATTAGGTCAACTTAATAATTGTCTCTAGGTTAGCTCTTTTGGCCACTTAAAAAATTCATAATATATAGATTTTTTTAAATGGCCTCATATTTAACTGTATGGAATCTTAATGAATTCATAGACTTGGCTTCTCAAAAAAAGCTTTTAATAGATAACTAACTCTAACTTATTAGGGATCTACATAAGAACGAACTTACAGCGATCAACGATGGCATGTTTAAGGGCCTGAATTATTTAGAAATCTTGTAAGCTCTTTTGTTTTTAGATAAATGAAATTTTTAAGGATGAAGATATTTAGAAATCCTGTAAACTCCTTTTTTTTTTAAGAGTAATATAATTTTAAAGAATGAAGGTAATCAAAATTTATAGAGCTTTATATTGTTTCTTTTTTAGGACTATTCGGTTAAGACGTAAAAAAAATGTTAATAAACCTATTATGTGTTAGATATCTTTCGGATAATAAAATTACATTCATTGCGCCTAATTCCTTTGGATCACTAACGGAACTAAGGACCTTGTAGGCTTATGCTTCATTACATAAACTTGTCATAAGCATAACTTAATTTGTTTATTTAAAGTGAAAGCGGCTATTTTCTGTTTAGATATATTAATTAATGTTATCTGTAATAAGAAATTTATTACTTATAGTTTCAAAAATATATTGATTTATAGCAAATTCTTTTTATGGTGCGCTTACATGCATTATAGCAAACGTATCTGTTAGTATTAATTCTTTGGTTGTAATAAATATATATTTGTTTACTTCTATTCGTCTTACATAATGAATATTAGGCATTTATCTAGTAATCCTATAACTGAGATCGGGCCCAAAGCATTTAGTCCTATCTTGGATTTTAGAAATATGTTAACTTTTCTTGTGTTATCCCTTCATTTTGTTTACCCTTTATTTATTTAATTCAGTGTTTTGAAACTCGATAAGAATTTTCTCTGTTGCTCGCGCGTTCTATATGAAAGCCTTAGTTATATAGAATCCAAATGCACCTATCAGGGTGCTCTCGAAGAGTATAATAGCTTTGTTAAGGAGAAGTGTAGTTCATCTTTCGCAGCAAACGCTCAAGGTGTCCAAAAGGAAAAGGTAGCTCTTAAACTTGACGTTTTAATTGCGGTATCCCTTCAATAAACTTTGTCTTCGTTGCCGATATTTTAATTTGTCAGTGAAAAATATATGAAACTGCGATAAATTTTTATTTGTTTCCTCCTTAGTTGTCGGGTTACCAAGACAAATAAGTATGCTTTAACATAAAAAATCACCCGCATAATTAATAATAGCGTTAGTAACTTTCGGTGACATGGTAGTTTCTAGCCTGATTACTTGTGGCAGGTGGTTCAGTTGAACTTGAACTTTAAAGTGCCTGTAAACTCGTCCACTAAAAAGAACCAGAATCCGACAAAAAGAGTCGGCATATATAAAAAGGCAAGTTTTCTTGTCAATGAATAAGCGCTCATTATAGACATTGATCTTCCTTAGAAGATAGGAAGCAGCTTAAAAGTAAAACAACAATGGTGGGTCGAAAACAATAAAAAGGTAACACACCCCCGCTTTACTGCTTAATATGAGTTGTTATATTTATAAAAGATAAAAATTAATTCTCAATCGCTTGGCTATGATAGTAGTGAGAAATTAACAGTAAAAAGACGCGAAAGAAACAAAAACACGGTACTGATGTTATTGAAGATACTATTTAAATACATTATTTCTAGTTTTATAGAGATTAACTGGACTCTCCCTAGCCCGAACCAAACAATTTTTGATTGTAATTTTCGCAATAATCACAATAGTCATTATTATAACTTTGTCCGTATTATATAAACTTGAGAGTTGCAAAAAGAATTATGGTAAACAATTTCGCATTCAGAATCAAGTAGGAATGAGTACATTGAATCCTCTTTTTAAAAGTGGGATCAACACGGGTTATAACTATTCAGGGGTATAATAAAAAAATTTCAATTATAACTGCTCTATTTTTATTAAGCGTCCTTCCACAACCGGCTTTAGTGGTGAAATTAGCATAAGCTGACTATTATAGAGTTACATACACATCTGAAATGGGTGTAAGGGCTTATATAATAAATTAACGCAGACACAATAGACAGAGAGTTTCTAGTTTAAAAATTGACATCTTTGAGTTTAGCTTATTGCCTCTCTACTCTAAAGGGAGTAAAAAAAATTGTCCTCAGCTTCAGTACTTCATTTAAATTTATTTTTTTGTTTATTCATAGCCTTGCGCCCAATTTTAAGATGAAATTGTAGTGCTTATTTTAGAACTTGAAAGAGAGAGGAGTATGAGTTTAATGAGTAGCTTCACGTCAGCAGTTAAAGAGCTTTGGAAGAGTAGAGCTATTTTATAATAACGCCTCCTCGAAGAATAATTAATAATTTTTTTTCGTGCGTTAATACAACTAATTAGCTTTCTTAAACTACGACCTACCCATAATTTTAGGAGAGCTAATCCGACTTAATAAAAAAGAGTAATGGTGCCGACTTAAACTTGAATTACTCATAGTTAAGCAACACCTAAAATTACGTTCCAGTTAAGTAAGTTTTCAATTCACTATATCTTTAGAAGAGTAATCTTCTATCAATTTTAATTCGAATTTATGTTTTTCAAGTCTCCTGTAGGGTTGGGCGTAAGAAAGCTCTTGCAAGCGAAACGAAATGTAAATTAACCTTTAATCAGAGTCGCAAGTTTTCTGTGGATATCCTCAAACAAGTAGTATAAGAGCAATAATCCTTCTACTTTATAAACCAATTTTACTGTTTTAGGCTAAGGTCTACCTGAGCTGTGTAAAAATAAGTCTCCTCTTCGTTTGTACGTTGAGGAACTTTTCGATCAAAAAGAATTTTAAATGCATCCTAGTAGGAACAGCTGTACCAATCAAATCATAAAAAAAAAAGGTAGTCGCTTGGCTCATCTGGCACTACGGTCTCTCATTCTGATTTCTCTAATATCATTTAACAGCGTTGTGCATGTGTAACTTCTCTTAATGTATAACAACCCAGCTAAAATTGCTGTTATTTCTTCAAAGCTTTTGTAAGTCGTATGTGGCTTACCAAACTCGACTTCTATTGACTAATGTTGCAATAGTTAATATTTTAATATTAAAAAAAAAGTAGCAGTTTTGATGCTCAATTGATGATTTTGATATAACGGCTGCAGAAATATGGAATATATGTATTACTAGATTTATTTTGGATCCTCCCCTTGTCACATATATACCCTTCACTTTTCCATAAAGCAATTGTCTCTTTTTACTTAACTTTTTCTTCATACAAATAAATTTTGTTCAGTATTTTTACCCGACGAATAGGGCCTGGGGGCGTATAGTCGCATTACTTTTAGCTTCAAATTTTTTGTTAGCAACCTCACAAAGGTATATGGTATTATGTTTTTAAATGACTACACTTAAATTTATCTTCAAAATGCCTTGAAAAACTTTTAGTTATATGCTTATAAATAAGTTTATAAATAAAAATTTCCTCATGATATTGCATAACAAACGCTAACGTATTTAAAAATTTAATGCTTAAATCTTAAAATGATGGCAACACCAAGTATAATGCTTCTTTCTTTTCCTAGCTTTCGTTGATAAGTTAATAGCCTCCACAAACAAGAACACAATTGGGGTATTCGTCAGTAAGGCGAGTAAATCCTTTGACCGAAAGGTTTCTAATTTAACAGTGTTTAAATCATTTCGTCCTCCCGGAATCATTTTTTTTTTTGCGTTTAATATGCAATGTAGTTTGTTCAAATTTTATGCTAGCCCTACTCTTTTTTAAATAACAATTTTACGATTCCCTTATTTATTTAAATTTACTGTTCAATTTTTACCGACCTCTACTTGAAAGAAATGCCTCCATAGCGGACGAATTCATGAAAAGTTAGAGCGAAATATATCATCAAATTTAAAAACTCTAGTATGGCAGTTCTACTTTAGTTAAGTTAATTTCACAAAGTATACTTTTATCTTTGTTAAAGAAGGTTATTAGTGCATTTATAAAATTTTATTAATGTTTATTGGCAACCATAGCGCTTAATTTTATAAGAATCTCTGTAATGGTAATAATAATAAGAAAGTAAAAGCATATAAAGCCCCTAACTATAAGTGATTGAATCAATATGACATGAACTTCATTAAGATGTAAGGGATTCCCAGCGGGAGCAACTTGTGCAGGAGTTCCCCTCAACGTGGCGTAAATTATGTTCAACTTCAAAATAAAATTTCAACGTTCGGGGCAGCAGATACTCAAACCGCGGTGATTTCGACGGAATGGTTGGGCTATATATATATAGTACTAGCTAATAACACTACAACTCACATACAACCAATACAGTTTTTCAACCGACCAAGGTATGCGTATGTTTGTTTGCTACTGTTGCAACCGTAAGTTAACCCGTTATTTAGCCAAGTTCTGAACTGTTTTTGTAGTTGTTACAATGGATCTGGAAACAGACCTTTAATGTTATTAGAACATTACTCATTATACAGATCTTTCTGCTAAGACTTTCCGTCCGCAATCAATTACTCGCATGACGGTAGTTTTCTTATAACTTAGCTATTTACTTCCAAGCAATCATTCAGTAATTGCAAGAGTTCAATAGATCTTTCTAGGCGTCGTATATAAATATTACGCTTCGAAAGGCATTGCTAGGACTCAATGCGAAGCTTTCATGACCAAGTTAAAGAGTTGTTATCTCTTTGTGTGTTACTTTATTATGTTTAATCAACAAAGTCATTTTTATTATGAGTTAAGTCTAGTTAATAAATCCGAAGGCATCAGACACCAGTCAGAATATTACACATAATGGTTCATTTAAAGTTACTGGGAAGTTAGCAACTGTTCCAAGACTTTATCCAACCTTAGTGTTTTGCCAAGTTTAAAAGCATATTTTTCGATACGACCCTAATAGATCCTATAGTTTTCGGTAGTACAACGTAACTTAACAGAGCGCTCAAAAAGTAATATACCATAATTACGCTGCATTGGTTTCCTTAGTTAATTAGCCACTTGTGTCAGAATTAAGTCAAAGTATACATTGGTTTAAGCTAGTTTACAGCAACAATATTGCCAACATCTTTGCAGAGTTGAGGATGTCATGACCCAAGACAGATGTTTTCGCATTCACGTTGCATTACATCTACGGATGGCAACCCATTACCTTCCATAGATCGAAACCACCTGGAAACCGCCGGGAATAACGCCAAGACTGGACGCAATTTATATATAGGACCGATCTTTTTCGGCCGCTTATATTCTTATGGACCAGGCGACGGAACAGGGATCCTTACACCCTAAAGAGTGTGCATTTCTGGACACTGCTAAAAGATGTGGCTAATGGTCGAGTTGGATGCTACCACTAAAGTCCGACCGACCGCAGTTGCCTGGTCAGGCAAGTCAATGAGCCCCCCCAAACAGAATTTAGTCGTTGCTACCACAGCCCAGAACAGGAAGTCCGCCGCAGGCAAACCCTCAAGAATAAAAAAGATAAAAGACAGAGCGTCCTCTCGGGCGCGAGCATCGAGACCAAGAAAAAAAGTTCTTATCTCTTCTACGGGTTTTAAAAACTCTAAATTATAAAAATGACCTTGAAAAGGACAAAAATAGTGCTTCTACCTATATAAAGATAATGAAAGATAAACGAGTGTAAATTTTAATATTATTTCAAGATAGAAGCACAAAATAAGTACAAGGGCGTTGACTAGGTTTAAACTAGCTTATCCGAGTAAGACGCCGAATAAAATAAGTAGTTCGTTAAGCCGCTATTTTTCTTAAATTTAGAGGTGCCTGAGGAGCACAACACAGACCACCTATAATTAACAAACAAAAAGTGGGGAAGGGTGCGCCATAGCACTTCTCTTTCAAACACTAATTGGTGTTGCGCCCTCCACTGGTTAGTCAAAAACATCCATACAACCATGACAACTCGCTATAGAAAATTGTTTAATGGCACTAAAGATGATTTAACCAAACAAACTATATTTGGCGCCAAGTCGGCGAACAATTATATGGCTTGGCAGTGTTTTATAAGAACGTTGCTATGAACTCACAACTTAAAAACTAAGTTAAGAAATTACCGTAATTATTTGCCTTTGCGCGAACATTCAAAGACTTGGATGAAGGGAAGTAATGTCAAAGGTGCATTTTTCTTGAAATGAAGAGAAAAAAAATAAAAATTCCGAGGCTTTCAAAGGCAATAAAAAGTGGATAGTTTAGTTTACTGAGCACCTCCGAGGTGGTATTCTTGGAAGACGTAAAGCAAACATTCTTCACTCTTAGAAATTTGGTTTAAAAAGAAACCATTATGTCGTTGAACTTGATGACTGTGAAGTAAATGAGCGGCATGAAAATGTATGACAAAGACCCACTGATAAATTTACTCGAACGAGTAAAAATTCTCAAATAAATGCGAAATAAGATGGGAGGACAGTAGTCATAGATAAAAACAAAAGTCATATTATTTATAAGACTTTGTATTTTGTACAATGAATAAAAAAGATGACTAAAAACGTACAGTCAATGGAAGAATTAACTTTCAATACCAAGTTATAAAAGTAACAAAAATAACAATAGTTTAGCTTCGAAAGTTTTTTATTTTTACAAATTATTCCCGATATAATAAAAGGTAAGTGTAGTATTTTTGTAAATTATGTACTAATGTTACTTGGTTTCTATAACTGCTGAGTCTGCTTTTGGATGGTGGGCATATTGAGGGTAGTCTTTTTAAAATAGAAATTAATTTATATTTTTAATTCCGAATACTTTTCGTTCGGTCCATAGATTGGCAATTAAAAGGCAAGCTTTCTACCTTATTAATATTCCTCGGCATCTACTGTTTAAACTAAAAATGAGTTATTATTACTTACTTACTCTTTGCATATACGATATTAAAAAACATTAGTAACCTCAATTTATTCACGAGTTACACCAGAATAGTTC